GGAGTTCAAGATGCCACTCTGTCTAACGTTCATTGATTTAAAGAAGGCCTTTGATTCTGTTGAGACGGAAGTGGTCATAGAAGCCCTAGCCAATCAGGGCGTACAAACTCAATACATCAGGATCCTTCGTGAGCCCTATTGCGGATTCACTACCAAGATCTCACCATTCTACAAAGAAGTAATCATCCATATCAAGAGAGGGGTTCGGCAGGGTGATACCATTTCACCAAAACTCTTCAGTGCCACCCTCGAGAACATCATGCGACGACTGGAATGGGAAAACATGGGAGTGAAGATAGATGGTCGGCAACTACACCACCTCCGCTTTGCTGATGACATCGTTCTAATAACACCAAACATCAACCAAGCGGCACAAATGCTGAACGACTTTGACCGTGAATGTGGAAAGGTCGGACTACAGCTGAATCTTGCGAAGACAATGTTTATGAGAAACAGCCTTGTTCCTGATGCTCCATTCGCTCTCAACAGAACCACCATCTCCGAATGCAACAGTTATATATACCTAGGTTGAGAAATCAACATGATGAATGACCTGGCACCTGAGTTGCGCAGGAGGAAGAGAGCGGCTTGGAATGCCTTCAAGAGCATTGAAGAAATAACTAAAAGGACAAAGAACCTCCAGCTACGAGCACATCTCTTTGATTCCACTATTCTTCCTGCATTAACATATGCCTCAGAGACCTGGACCCTACGAAAACAGGATGAGAACACTATTCGGGTCTCTCAAAGAGGAATCGAAAGAACTATGCTTGGAATATCACGATTCACTCAAATGAGAGATAGAATCCGGAGTTCTGATCTTCGTCAATGCTCAAGAATCAGGGACGCTGTCTCATTTGCCAAGACCTCAAAAATCAGATGGGCTGGACACGTAATGAGGTTTACAGACAACCGCTGGACTAGAGCCATTACTGATTGGATTCCACGAGACATCAAAAGATCACGTGGATGCCCACCTATAAGATGGTCAGACTTCTTCGTCAAGACCCTAAATGATCGGTTTGAGGCTCTACATGTTCCTAAAACGAACAGATACCATTGGGCTACGCTAGCACACAACCGGGATGAATGGAGACGTTACTGGCACCCGCTCGAATAAATCGATGAATAACGGGGATAAGTGATTAAGTGATAAGTGATTAAGTTATCTGTTCAAGGGCGCTTGGGTTGTTTCCAGATTTTGGCTATTGTGAACAATGCTGCAATGAACATATAGGTACAGATGTCATTTCTACTGTGCTTTTTTGCATCCTTGGGATATATTCCCAAAAGTGGTATTGAAGCTCAATTTCTAGTTTTTGAAGGACTGTCCATATTGTTTTCTAGAAGGCTGGACTAGTGGGTATTCCCACCAAGAGTGAGAGAGTGTCCCTTTTCCCCCACATCCACACCAGCACTAATTGCTTTTGCTCTTTTGAATGTGTTCCAGACTCTGTGGTGTGAGATGATATCTCATTGTTGTTTTGATTTGCATCTCTCTGATGGCTAGTGATGTGGAGCATTTTTTCATGTGCCTTTTGGCTATTTGTATTTCTTTTTTGAGGAAACTTCTGTTCATTTCTTCTCCCCATTTTTTGATGGAGTTGGAGGTTTTTCTTGTACAAGTCTACTAGTGTCTTGTATATCCTGGATATTAATCCCTTATCAGATGGGTATTGGGTAAATATTCTTTCCCATTCTGTGGGCTCTTTCTGTATTTTGGTCACTGTTTCTTTTGAAGTGCAGAAACTTCTTAGTTTGATGTAGTCTCATTTGTTTATGTTTGCTTCCACTTCCATGGTCAGTGCTGTTTCATCCTTAAAGATGTTTTTAGCTTCAATATCATGTAGACTTCTTCCTACATTTTCCTCTATGTACCTTATAGATTCATGTCTGATATTGAGGTCCTTAATCCATGTTGATCTGACTTTTGTGCCTGGCATTAGACAGAGGTCAGCGTTCATTTTTTTTTCAGGTAGCCATCCAGTTTTCCCAGCACCACTTGTTGAAGAGGCTTTCCTTGTTCCACTTCACATTTCTTGCTCCTTTGTCAAAGATTAAGTGGTCATATCTTTGGGGGTCTGTGACAGAATATTCAACTCTGTTCCATTGGTCTGCAGGTCTGTTTCTAGCCCAGTATCATGCTGTCTTAATTACTACTGCTTTGTAGTACAGTTTAAAGTTGGGAAGGGTGATGTCACCCATATTATTTTCCCCAAGGATTGTTTTAGCTATTCGTGGGGTTTATTGTTCCAATTTCAGGAGTGTTTTGTCTATTTCTTTGAAAAAATGTGATGGGTATCCTGATAGGGACCACATTGAAATTGTACAGTGCTTTGAGCAGTATTGCATTTTGATAATGTTAATCCTCCCTATCCATGAGCAGGGGATGTGTCTCCATTTCCTAGTGTCCTCTTATTTCTTGAAGTAGTGTTTTGTAATTTTCCTTGTATAGGTCCTTCATCTCTTTGATTAAGCTGATTCCAAGGTACTTGATTTTCTGAGGTACTATTGTGAATGGAATTGCTTTTTTAAAAAATGTCTCTTTCTTCTCTTTTGTTATTTGTATATAAGAAAGCCATGAACTTTTGGGTGTTGATTTTGTAGCCTGCCACTTTACTAAACTGACCTATTGTTTCTAAAAGCTTTTCTGTAGAATCTTTAGGGTTTTCTAAGTATAGTATCATATCGTCTGCAAATAGTGATAGTTTGACCTCTTCCTTTCCTATCTGTATTCCCTTGATACCTTTCTCTTGCCTAACTGCTATGGCCAGGACTTCCAGTACTATATTGAATAGGAGTGGCGAAAGTGGGCAACCTTGTCTTGTGCCCGATCTTAGAGGGAAGGCTTTTAGTTTTTCCCCATTGAGAATGATACTTGCCTTAACCTTGTGGTAGATGGCTTTGACTATATTGAGAAAAGTTCCTTCAATGCCTATTTTGCTGAGAGTTTTCATCATAAACTGGTGTTGGATCTTGTCAAATGCTTTCTCTGTGTCTATTGATATGATCATATGGTTTTTTTCTTTTCTTTTGTTGAGATGATGGATTATGTTGATCAATTTCCGAATGTTAAACCATCCTTGCATCCCTGGGATGAATCCTACTTGGTCATGGTTATGATCTTTTCGATGAGTCGTTGGATTCTATTTGCCAATAGTTTGTTGAGGATCTTTGCGTCTCTGTTCATCAGGGATATTGGCCTGTAATGCTCTTTCTTTGTGGTATCTGTCTTCTTTTGGTAACAGGGTGATATTTGCTTCACAAAAACTGTTAGGAAGTGTTTTTGATACTTAAGATTTTGTGGAAAAGCTTAAAGAGGATTGGTAGTAATTCCTCTTTAAAGATTTGGAAGAATTCACTAGTGAATCCATCTGGGCCAGGGCTTTTGTGCTTGGGGAGACTTTTTATTACTGTTTCAATTTCCTTGATGTTGATAGGTCTGTTCAGGTATTCCAGGTCTTCTTGGTTCAGCCCTGCGAGGCTATAGGAATCTAGGAATTTATCCATTTCCTCGAGGTTTTCGTGTTCCGTGGCATAAAGCTTCTCAAAGTACTTCCAGAGGATCCTTTGAATTCCTTAGTTTCTGTTGCAATGACCCCCTTTTCATTTCTGATTCATGAAATGAATTTTATTATTTATTAGGGTTTTTATTAGGGTTTTCTCTCTCCCTTTCCTTGTGAGTCTTGCTAGAGGCTTATCGATCTTGTTTATTTTCTTGAAGAAGCAGCTGGAAGAGCCACTTTTGATACTCTCAGAACGAGAACTGCCACGGAAGCTGTGTCCTGGCGATAGCCAGTGGAGCTCTACACAGGCAGAGAATGTCCATGGGTCTGCCGCTCCTTACAACAGGCGTATGAGGTAAGGAACCTTGTTCTCCTTGTTCTATGGGCGAAACAGATGTAGCTGAGTCCAAGGTTCCGCTTTCCCCAGAAACTATTTGTTCTTTCAAAGGAAGATGGTGCCCTGAAACACACTGGAATACCTACAGATGGGATTTGCTTGCCTCAAATGCTAATCATAGGCTTAAAAAATATCTTTACTGAGGTATTATAGCTTACAACAATATTAAACTCCTTGCTTTATGTTGCAGAACACTAGATCGATCCTTCTACCAGTGATTCCAGACCTTCCCACCACAGACTTTCGTTTTCAGTTAAGACAATGTGGGGCCAGCACAAAAAAAAAGGCTGGATATTTTAAGAGGCCACATTAGTGTGTGAGAAGAGGAAGTGGGAGGGAGTGGCCACCCAAATAGGAGTCCGGTGAGTCCGGTGAAAGAGAAGGGGTGGATGCTGAGTTTTGCTCCATGGTGTATGATGTCACCTCTCTTTCTCCGATCTTTTATAAAATCTAAAGTAAAAGCTACACCCACAAATAATTTGTAACACCGAGTCTCTCTTGTGGGGGAGATCTATCAGGAAAATGGGTAGAGAACCTTGTTTCAGAGGGGGACAGCTAAATGATAGAGTGTTCACATGTGAGTCCGGTAGAAATACAAAGAAAAACTGATTTAAAATGGGAAGTGAACTGTTCGCTCAGGGGTTAGGAGCTGTATAAATAAATGTGCAGCTAAGTCATAAAAGTGACACAAATCCTTTCACTCTGTGATTGTTTGTGATCAGTGATCTTAAACATATGAAGGGGCTGGAGCAATAGCAGAGGTTAGGGCATTTGCCTTGCACGTGACCGACCCGACCCGGGTTCAATTCCTTTGTCCCTCTCGGAGAGCCTGGCAAGCTACCGAGAGTATCCTGCCACACAGCAGAGCCTGGCAAGCTCCCCATGGTGTATTCGATATGCCAAAAACAGTAACAACAAGTCTCACAATGGAGACTTTACTGGTGCCTGCTTGAGCAAATTGATGAACAATGGGAGGACAGTGACACAGTGATAAATATATAAAGACTGTCTAGAATTCACACGTGTGACCTTCAGAGCCTAAAGGGTCTGCAGTGTTGCAATGTTGATGGAGCTGGTTTCTATTTCCCTGCACTCACCGGTAGGTGGTTTCTGGAAGAAGGTCATTCATAATGTAAGTGGTCGTGTTGCCCACGGTGATGCTAGTGTCTCCAAGATCAATAGTGTAAGCAAGAATTTCAGATCCATTATTGCACGGCTCTTCCCAGTTCAGTACAAGGCACACAGAAGGTGAATCAGGGCGGGTGCTGAAGGTCTCCTCCTCCAGGACGCAGAGCGTGGAGACGGGGTCAGGGGCAGATGCTGGTGTCTGGCAAAGAACGAGTTCACTGTACGGGCCTGCTCCAGCTTGATTGACAGCCTGAGAAGCAGAAGAGGGAGAGAGAGCACGTCACTTCATCAGCACATTCTAACTCTCTTGGTTAGAAGCCATGAAATAACCGTAGAGTTAAGAAACAACTTAGGGAAATGCAGGTAGAAATAAAGACTAAACAATGGTGACCACCTCCTAAAAGCATCAACCATATATTTTCTACTAATAGAACAAAATTAAGACTGTGATCATCACTGCTTAGGAAAAAAAAACCCTAAATATTGCAGGGTGGCACAACCCACTTCAGTTTATATACTGTCTTACACAATCTTCAAAATTATCATTTGAGGTAGACATTTTAATGGCGAGTACTCCCATCTGCCTTCCAGAAAGGAGGGAATGCAGAGTTACATCAAATAACCCAGGTTCAATTTGTGTGTGTGTGTGTGTGTGTGTGTGTGTGTGTGTGTGTGTGTGTCGGGGGGGGGGGCAGGTGGGGAGGTGTCCACACCCAGTGGTGCCCAGAGCTTATTCCTTGCTTTTGTGCTCAGGGATCGATCACTCCTGGTGGTGCTTGGGGGATCATACGCTGTGTGGGGACTGGATTGATGCTGGCTGCACGCAAGCGAAGCACCTTAACCCCTGTGCTATCTCTCCAGTTCACTCCGATTCCAGACTTAGAGGAAATGCTGTGAGTGGAATTCAGCAGACTTTTTAATTCACATACTGCCTTAGAATTCTATAAGAGTTCTAGAGAAAATATCGACAACTCAATGTGAAAAGTGAACTCATACTGGAAGTTACTTCTCAGCCCCCAAGTGGCTTTCCCCACAGCAATAGCTGACACCTTGATCACTTCCTCTCTCACAAAAGCTTAGTCACTTGGTCTCTGGGATCCACACATTTTTGTTTCTGCGGATTGGCCACTGCTTCTCACTTGGCTCACTGTTCCTTGTCAGTGGGCTCACTCTACGCTACTAAAGGGTACCAGGGCTCAGCACTCGGGGACACCTTTTCTACCTCTGCTCGAACTCAGAGACCCTTCCTTGACTCAGGGAGAGACAAAGTATGGAAACGCCATTCATCTCTCACTCCCAGATTGTGTTGCTATGACCTCTGCCTTGAAAGCGAGCCTGGTGCACCCAACTGCCTTTTGATCTCTACTTGAATAAGAAGTCAACATCTCAAAACTCACGATTCTGCACATTTCCTCACCTCTCCCCACTCCTCCACACCAGAAGCCCCACTACGCCCCATGGAGGTTTCCCCAGCCTCTGGTTCTTCAAGTCATCGCAGAAAATTCCTCCTCTATCCAGGTCATAAGCGTACCTAACCCCTCCAGCAGCAAAGGCGTGGTCTCTGGACACTGTGGTGACCGCCTCCCTGCCTGGCTTTTGCCCCCCAGTTTCCCACTCACCACGAGCAGGGTGACACTGCTCCAATCTTTCAATGGCTTCCCCGCATACTCAGAATAAACTTCAAAGTCCTTGCAACAGCCCAAGAGATTCTGATTTGCTCACCTCCCCCCTCCCGAGCCCCGTGACCATGCTGCCCTCCACAGCCTGGAACCTCCCCGCTCTCTCTACTCCAGCCACTCGCCTCTAGGCTGATGCACAGGACTCCGGGCCTGACTCAGTCTTGAGGTCTCTGCAACCTGCTCTTTTTCTCACGGAGAAAACACTTGGCAGCCTCCTTAGGACAGTGGAAGAATTCTAAACCCCATTTATTTAACTCACAGGAGGATTTCAGAAGACAAATCGTGAAAATCACTTGGGTCTTAAAATTTCAGAGCAAAACTTGTGTATTAGTTTATTTCAAAGAAGCAAATTAAAACACATTCATTGACTAACAAATCACCTCTGAAAAATCCACTGCAAAAATTTAATACCACAGATATTTAGAGTTACTTGCAGGGGCAGAGTCTAAGGTACTCAGTGTTTCCTACTGGCTTTGCACTCAGGGATCACTCCTGGCAGGCCTCAGAGTCGATACAGAGTGCGAGGATAGAACCTGGGATATTAGTGTGCAAGACAAACTTATCTCTGAGTATGTATTCAATATGCCAAACACAGTAACAACAAGTCTCAAAAAAATGGAGACGTTACTGGGCCCGATGGAGCAAACTGATGAACAACGGGAGGACAGTGTTTGTTTGTTTGTTATTTACATCTATATAAAACAGGTGGAGTAAACCCCAATTCTCAGGTAATCCTAAAGATTTCACTAGTTAGCAAGAACAACTGTGGCAGAGTATCGTCAACAGTGGATATTTTCTTTACTCTCTTCCAACTGGAAAAGCAAAAACAAAAGAGCATCTTGACTTATATACATATATGTGTGTGTATTTTTATTTTCTTAAATTTAGAAAGCCAAAAGGAGAGAGAGAGAGAGAGAGAGAGAGAGAGAGAGAGAGAGAGAGAGAGAGAGAGAGAGAGAGAGACTTAGAGATAATCCAGAAATCTATGTTTTTGGGGGGGAGGGGGCAACACCTGGCTTCCCTCTAGCTCTGTGCTCAGATTCCACTCCTGGTGGGGCTCAGGAGACCAAACAGGGCACTGTGGATTGAACCTAGGTTAGCTGCATGCAAAGCAGGCACCCTACCCACTGTACTATTGCTCTTGCCCCAGAAACCTAATTTTATTTATTTTTGTTTGGGGGCCATGCTAGTGGTGCTCAGGACTTATTCCTGGCTCTGTGCTCAGGGATCATATGTGGTCCTGGGGATCAATCTGGACTTGATCACATGAAGGCAAGCATCTTCATCATCTCTTTATATCTCTTTCTTTCTCTGGTCTCAGAAACTTTAGTCTTTTTTTTTTTTTTTATGATGTAGGAGTACTGGCCATGGCAGAACCTGGCAAGCTTCCTGTGGCATATTCGATATGCCAAAAACAGTACCAATAATGGGTCTCATTCCCCCCGACCCTGAAAGAGCCTACAATACCGCACTGTTGGGAAAGACGAGTAAGGAGAGGCTACTAAAATCTCATGGCTGGGACAAATGGAGGTGTTACTGGTGCCCGCTCGAGCAAATCGATGAACAACGGGATGACAGTGATACAGAAATTCAGACTTTAGAGATAAGCTGAAAAAACAATATGGAGAAATTTCCCTGTATCTCTCACCTTGCGTCCCCTACATTTATAACTCTAGACTAATGTTTAATCCCAGAAAATGAACAATTACAAGCAATCCTTCAGACTGATTTGAAACTTAACAAATTTTTCTGGGAGATTATGTTTTTCTATTTCAGGTTCTACTCTTTTACTTCTCATTATCTGGAAAATCATTCTTGATTTATTCCACTTATTATTTCATTACCCATTTTCAAGGTAAACTTAATTCAAAAACATCTTTTACAAAGTAATAGTATATGGTATGCCTCATGTGAGAAGATTTATGCTATTTATGCTGTTGTCATTAACCTCTTCTTTAGGAATAATATACAGATTAAGTTTCCTGAGCAAAACAAAGATTTCACACAATTTTTATAAGACACGTATAGGTAGTATATATGATTTAATTTCTAAGGCTCTAATAATCAAAATAATTATTTTGAGTTTAACTTGATTTTTACAGTAAAGCTGAATAAATATAATTCACAAGGACCAGTGGGCTAGCATAGGGAAAGAAGCTAGCATAGCATAGCAGAGCAAAGAAGCTAGCTTTGTACATGGTTTAACCAGGTTCGATCCCCAGCACCCCAAGCCCACCAGGGGTGATCCTTGAGGGAAAGTCAGGAGTGAGCTCTGAACATGGCCTTATGTGGCCCCAACAGCAAAAGCAAACAAACAAAAAAGATAATTTATGCTAGGTTCAGAAATGGCAAGAAATTAATATAAGTTGAGGAGACTCTTGAAAATACTTTTTTTTCAGCATTGCAATGGGTGTTCTCAAAGTATGCGCGCCTTCATGGGACCTGGCTCACTTTATGACATCGGAAAATATTTACTTCTGACTATCAAGACACAGAGGAAATCGTTGCATGCAACTTCTATTCTTACCAATGTAACTTTTCAAATGCATTTTTTGGGAAGTTACTGCTAAGTGACAACATATACTCTGGATGGAAGATAGGAAGCAGAACATTTTAGAGAGAAACCAAAACTCAAAAACCACACTGGAGTAATGTTCTTTCCCGTGGTGGCAGACAGTTCTTTATTTATATCCTGCCTTATTCCAAACACCGGACTGTAGCACATGATTTCACCTTTGCCAATGACACAGCATCGCTATTCTAAAGATCAGACAGGGTGCTATGGCCTGACTCACTGTCAAAGGGTTATGTACATCCCAGGGGCAACGTCAGAGAAGGAAGGAAGGAAGGTGTGTAACAAAAGTTTAATCAGAAATGTTTGTGATAAAGCAGGCTTCAGGCTTAATAGAAAAGCTTTCAGTTGGTGTGGAAAACCAACTCATGAAGGGAGCATTTGCTCCCAAAAGGCCAGAGACACTATGCATAGACTTGTTATTAAGCAATGTGAAATCAGGTGAAAAATCTGGCATCTGTGCTTCTGTGTCAATTTAAATTAAATTGTATGCGAAGACAGAATTCTTCAAGGTCAAAAACCACATCTTACTAATCTTTGTATCTCTCTTGATTATTCAGATCATACTTGGATTCTAGCACAAAGTAGTGCTTCAGAAATGTTACCGAACAAATGGAAAGAAAATCAACCCTGTTTTCTCAGGATAATAAAGCTTTACAAAGGGGGAAAATTATCTAAAGGAATGGAGTAGAAGAAAAATCAAGATTTGGGAATGGTATTGGAATATCAAATGCTGATAACAAATCATCATAAGAAACTTTGTAAATCATGATGTTAAAATAAAATGGGAGAAAGGAGAAGATAATTCAAGGCTTTTGGGACTCAGAAGTTAAGGCTCTGAGAGATAGGTCCGATTACTCCAATATTTGTTTCTGCCTCTGAGAAACTGGCATGGTAAGTTACTGTCTTTTTTGCTGAAAGGTGCAGTCGGGGGATATGTGTACGGGGCATCTCCTCAAAGGACTTCTGCCACTTTGCCTCTGGCTTTTACCATTTCTTTGTGAATTTATAAGACAACCAGGGTACCAGGGTGGTAAAAGGTACAATGGAGAAGAATCTGATTTTGTTTCAGGATCTCTGGGAAGAGCAGATACTAACGGCAAATACTCAACAATTAAATTTATATATTTTTTTCTTTAAAGAAAAGATGCTTTTAGAGTTTTTTCCTGAGCTGCATCTGAGTACAGTCCACCTACCTGTAGTCTACAGCAGTATTGTGCAGCAGGCAACAGATCCTTTATCTCAAAGCCGGTGTCTGTCCCATGATAAATGAGTTCTAAGGATTCGGTATCTTCTCCCCACTCCAACCTGTACTCCGAGATGTCCGCACCCGAGCATTCGGGACTCTGGGAGGCAGAAATTCATAGTCAGTCGTTTCACTGAGGAGAACCCTACCATGTTTGTGCTCAAATGAAGTGGGAAAGAGATCAACCCTTGCGCAGATACTAGAAAACTTTTGAAAAGCATGGAAGTGTTACCCAATCCTTTTCAACGCTCACTAACGGTGCAAGTTCTCCAACTCTGATACACATCAGGGCCAGGGGAGATTCATGTGCAAGAAATTACTTAGATGTGACTTTTGGCTTTCTATGTTACTCATATTTGCATTTAAGGGAAGATGAAAAAAATTGCTATATAACAGATACCAGACTTACCTCCCAACTCACTAGGACACAACCATCAGGTGTAAAAGAAATACAAGGTGTTTTACACTGTCCTGGAGGCCCTGCAGCAGTGGTAATTTCTGAGACATCAGAATAAGGCCCATACTGAAAGCAGAGAACATACATTTGTGAGTAACACACACACATACACACACACAAACGCGTAACGAAATATCGGCTAGGCTAGCACCGTGAATACATTTCATGAATGCAAGATGTTTAAAGGTTTGCACTTAGAAACTGAATGGGAGCAAAGTTTTCTTCTACATACATTCATGAATATTAAATAAAAGATTATTATTCTTTTATCTGAAATGATCCAAATGTTGATCTACCAAAATTTCTTACTTTTGATATCAGAAACAAAATTACACTGATTTTTGACCATTTTATGTTCTTTCACCTACTCAGAAGACAAAGAAAACAAAGTCAGATACACATTAGCAACTTTTGTTTTGTTATTCTTGGTTTTGGGGCCACATCTGGTGATACTCCTAGCTCTGCACTCAGAAATCACTTCTAATAGTGCTTGGGGGATCATATAGGATAGAACCCTGGTCAGCCTTGTGGAAACAAACTGCTCTACCCACTGCACTATCATTCTGGCCCCAGCAGTTAAATTTTTAATGTACAAAACATACTTGGAATGGTTGGATATCAAATTCTGTGCATTTCTTCTAGTTCTCAGTATATTCCATTTTGAAAACAGAGCTCCTGTTACTATTCTCCTGGAATGTTCCCAAACCTCAACTATTTAAAGGTTTTGCATTTCTCTTTTCTCTGTAATGCCAACAGACCACATTGCTCAGAGTCAGCCCAAACTACAGGCTTATAACAGAGGTCCATATCCGTCCACTCTAATAGTGTGATGTAGCAAGACTAAAACAAAATGACTTCCAGATTGATGCAATGTGGGAACTGTGCTTTTCAAAAAAAAAAGTTTTGACCCCTTAAAACTTTACAGTTCAGGGGTGAAGAAATAGACAGGGGTCGGAGGCATACTGTGTGCCTTGGTGCCCTCTTCCTTCTTAATTGTCCTTGGATTCTGGTACAAAGCAAGTGCTTCTGAAATATACTGAACACATGGAAAAATATGGAAAAAAGAGTCTTATTTTCTTGGGTTGAGAAGGCTCTATGAAGGAAGAAAATAATGTATCTGAATCAAAAGAAGGACATTCTCATTAACCGTTATTTCTGACTTCATAGAATAGACTGAGGACAAAAGAAACAACATTTCCAAGGGCGAATCTGTGTGATAGTCCCACAATACAATGACTCCATAATATTTTGCATATAGTTTGCTTATGACTATGAAGATTGGACAGATGCGTCGAGAATTCAGGAGCTGGAGAAACTTGTGTTTTGACCATAGCACATGAACCTTGTTTCTACTCACCCCTCCATCATTCAGGGCCCTCACCCTGAAGCGATACGTGGTACCCGGAAGCAGGTTGCCAACCGTGCACTCGAGCTCGGGCCCGTGGTACACCTCAGAAGCCACATCTTCTGGTTCCGTCATTTCCACACTGTACTCTGAAACCTCACAGCCACTTTTGGAGGCAGGAACATCTGGACATGGAGAATGTTTTTCCTTTCAGGACAATATGGTGCTTCCACCTGACCATATCTGATTTTTCTATAAGGTTTGAAAATCATCCTATATACAACTTGTCCTGGGTATCTCTCTTAGCACTCTTCTTTCTACGAGAGATACTGGCCCCACCCAAGGGAGAAAATATAAACAAAAAACAAAACAAAAAATGTACTAAATGTGATATTACCTATACATGCCAGAGGAAGCACATTACATTCGATCACATTGATAAAACTCATTCCAAAAAGGACCATTAGGAAAATTTCCTTACATTCACGGTAAAGAGAAACAGGGTCAGAGGGTTCGGGGGAAAAAGAACCCCACACAACTAAAAATCTTGACATCAAAAGTTTTACGTGAAATCTTTATCTTAGAGGACCCAAGTCCGTAATTATTATATTTTAGATATAAATGGTGAGAGAAAAGCTGCAGTCTATTTGCAATTTTACATACTGTAAATTGCTGACAGGGCTGATAATGTTAATACATCTTGAAATGAATGCAGTGAAACATCAGGACTCACACATGACAAAGAGTACAGATGCAAAGGAGTTGGACGCTTCCTGCTAAACAGAAAATCTCGTTGTGCTCTAACGTGGACATAACTTTTTTTTAATGAATAACATTGAAAAGGTCTTGGCGTAGGAAAAGGCTGCTCTGAACCTTTCTCTAGCCAAGTGTCTTCTGAGGCAGAGGATGAGTGAACGGGATCATGAACAGTGGGGAGAGGGGATGTAGGGAAGCAAACCAGCACAGGGTAAGAAGGAAAAGGGTCTTTTCTGCAGGAAAAAAAAAGATCTTCGGAGTGAAGATCCGCAATTCGATTCTAAAGCATTAAGCATTTACTTGGCCTTCAACTGTCATAACTGTCAGTGTGAAGGTTTGTTCACTCACCCCACTCTAAGTGGACTTCTTTGTGCTTTGGTCTACCCAAAACCCTCGGCGGCCGACACTGACCTGGTGCAATGCTTAGTGTGCGGACAGGGACACTCTCAGAGCACTGCAGGAGAAACACCAGAGAGAAGCATCTCTTAGTAATTGTGAGTTAGCAAATCTCTACACCACAGGTAAATTCCTCCCATCACTGTGAATGCTGCCAACGGGGAACAGCTGCAGAGGGAACGTGCATGTGCCTTGTTACGCAACAGTCCACGGGAGCGTGTGTGCATTTGAAGGGTGAACAAATACTGCATAGGGCGTTGGTAGAAGTTTGGGAAGTCAGATTTGTAGATTTGATTGCTTCGCACTGTAAATACATGATTATTTCTCTTCCCACTCCCGTGTTCATAGGACAGAAAACACAGAACAAGAATTGGTTGAAATTTTTAAATGGAGTCATAAATGGGCAACCATCCACATACACAGCAGAAAGTAAATGCAGTCAATATTAATCAACTGAGTCTGACATTAACCAGCAGGTTCTGTTAATGATGAAATAAGGATGACTTTTGTATGGGATTTGCTTGTGGAAGGCTAATGGTGTGGAAGTTTCTCTGTGGAATAAGAGAAAACATGATAGAGCTATGCAGTGCCCTCAACATCCCTGCGCTAACTGAGGATGGTGTGATGCTCTGGTCTCCGGGGTAGGGCTGCCTCGCGAGTGCTTGGCACAGAAGATGGACCCGTTGCCCACGGCTTTGATGAAGACCCAGTCCACACTGAGAGCCACGTTAGAGGGCTCCAGATCTACACAGGAAAGGTCTTAACTGGACCTTTTGTCCACAAGAGTCTGCCTGAATGAGGAGTCTGGCCACTGCGGTGTTGTCAGGCTGAGGCAGAAGAGAAATAAATAAATATGAGATGACACTGGAGGTGGGTTGACTGGTGCAGTTTGGCATCCTTCAAGCAGGTGTTCTCTTGAAAAGCCAACCCAGCCCGCACACAGCCACCGTCTCCCTCCAGCTCTTTTCCAATCTGAATGGCTTCAAACGATCTTAGACATCTCTTCGAAGACAATGTCTTTTTCCACCTAACCTCTCTCACAGGCTGAATACAAGTCCAAGTTGGACACTCACTACCTCATTTAAAGAATATGTCATGTCCATTTGTTTGGTTATTTTGAGCCAATAAAAACACCATGTGCTGAATCTAAAGCTTCGGGCATGTTAGCTGGCTCCGTTAGGGTGGCCGATGCGAGAAGAGCTGATGCCTGCAGATATGGGGGTTGGATGACCCTACACAACTAGAAGTGGTGCCATTTTGCTCAGGTGTTTTTTTTTTTTTTAAAGGCTATTACAGTAATTTTCCACAAGATGGCAATAAAGCACCTTGAGGAAGGTGTGTCTCAGCTTGCCATAAAATTGTCAGAAGTGGCAAAAACAGAGTCAAAAACAAATCTTTTTGACTTAAAATTCTATGCATTTCCAAAACTGAAGGTTCCCTTATTTAACTAATGCAAATTCCAGGCAACAGTCAATTTTCAATGATCATATGTGACTATTCTAAGTTAAAACGCTAAATCACAAGAGGATAAAAACACATCTCAGTTCAATTGAGAAACATTTGGGCCTTTCGTTTATGTCCTTTAAAGCATAATTTAAAAGAAACTGATTTTCAGTTTCCTGATATGATACCGTGCCAAGTTGGATTAGCAAGACACTTATGAGTGTCGGGGCAATTTAGATCACTCCACAGTGCTCAGAAGCTACTTCTGGAAGTACTCAGGGGATCAGGTGGTGGCAGGTATCGAACCAGAGCCTGCTGCATGCAAAGCATGTGTTCATTCCACTAAGCTATCCATCTCTCTAGTTCCACATGTATTTTTTCTTTTCTTTTTTTGGGGAGGCGTTATCTCTGGCGATGCACAGGGGTTACTCCTGGCTCTGTACTCAGGAATTATTCCTGGTGGTGCTCGGGGGACCATATGGGATGCTGGGAATCGAACCCGGGTTGGCCACGGGCAAGGAAAACGCCCTCCCGCTGTGCTATCGCTCCAGCCCTGTAGTCCCACATGTTTAAGGCAGCATTTTTATATCATGGAGAGGTTACCTCAAATTGATCAGAGATATCTGATTATTCATTTACTGGTTAACAAGACACATAGCAGTTATGCGCAGGGGTGACTCCTAGCAGTGCTCAGGGGCCCATGTGGTGCAGGAATTAAGCCTGGGCCTCTGGCAGGCAAAGCTTGTACGCAGGCCCTTGAGCTCTCCTTTCCCTTGTCCCAGAGAAGCTGACTTACTCTGAAAGGAAACCCACCTGACTGTGTCCGCCAGTGCTGATGCAGCATGCTCGGAGTTTGTACAAAGTGCCTGGTTTCAAGTGGGTGAAGGTATATTCCGTCGCCGATCCGCTGTATGCCACTTCCCATTGGCCTGCTGTGGAGCGAGACTCTGTGAGTTGGAGCATTTGGGAAAAGGCACCGTTTCCATCATGACCGGTTAAGAAGAAAGCTCGGAGCAGGTTCCATGACCACCAACATCTTTCACTCTCCCCTTCCCTTTCCTTTTCCACAATTAAACACGACAACCCGTGAAGTCATTTTTAGTATTTCATACTGCTGGCTAGAATACTCAGTATCGCCATAATTACATTGGCTGACAATAAACTCCGGGTGCCGGAAAGCACACAGAGATCGATGGCTGGCACATGGATGGCAGTGCGAGTGTGCGTGGTAAGGGGACAGGAAAGGTCAGTGAGCTGTGGCATGGTTCTGTTGTGCAAAGACCGTTAGGCGAGCAGGTTCCAGGGGCGGCTGAAGGCCCGCGTACCTGCCAGTGGGGGCATCTGAAATCCTGTCACCAAGTCCTGCGGGTGAGGACCCACTGTTGTCACAGAGCCCCCACCAAAAACTCAAAAATACCAGGAGGGTTCCCAGTTTTAAGAGAAACACTCGCGGTGACCCTGGGGACACTTATAAAGTAGGATTGTAGGGGAGAGGCCAGGTCTGGTGTCCCTGATGCTGGCGGCCTGGGAAGCACCTGGGCTGCTGTGACTGGCTTCCGGCCTCCTACATGGGCAACTGGGGTAAGATTTTCTCCTCTGCATTGTTCCTACTTAATGCTGTTTCCAGCTGAGTATTTTACAGAGGCCTTTGACTCCATGGAGTTCTTTTTATTTTGTTTTGCTTTATTGGGTTTGTGTTTTCGGCCTCATCTAGGGGTGCTCAGGTTTACTTCTGGTTCTGTGCTCAGGGGTTACTCCTGGCGCACTCAGGGGGCCACAGGGAGTGCCAGGGATTGAACTGGGGTTGGCTGTGTGCAAGGCAAGTGCCTTAGCCCCTGTATTCATTCTCTCCCTCTGTTTCTCTCTCTGTTTTCTCTCTCTCTCTCTCTCTCTCTCAACTCCCCATGAATTTCTTTTTATTTATTCATTCATTTATTTATTTTTATTAGTGAATCACCATAGGGTACAGTTATAAACTTACAAACTTTCATGTTTGCATTACAGTCTCCCCATGAATTTCTTTTAGGGGAAAATTTTACTCTGTTCTATACTATTTTACTAGAAGTTCCACACATTCCCCAGGCTAGTTTTATAATTAGGTACCAGGCATCTGGGCCATAGTAGAAAGAGGAAATACGGGACAAATATCCTGACATGACTGATCAGAAAACAAGTAGTGTGAAGGCAACAAGGAGTCAGGGCAATTGGCAAGATTCAAGCAATCATTTTATGCACTAACTCAAGCAGAGAACAGCAACTACTTTTGATTTGCCAACCCTGGTCAAGAGAGCGTGAAAAATCTAAACCGGGGAGACGACGTTACAGGGCTGGAGCACAAGTTCTGCACACAGGAGCCCCAAGTCCCATCCTTGGCACCTCATGGCCTCCCCCAAACCTCAGCTCTCATACTAGAGAGGCTTTGCACAACGAGCCACTGCTGCTACACAACTGCTCTCCTCAGCCGTTTTCCTGTTGTTGAGAAAAACACACACCTGCCTCAGGTTCTTAGCACAGACGATGTGAAGAACAGCTGCACCCATCTTAAAGCAAGTCATGTTTTCTACTTAAAACAGCAACAAATTGGGGCTGGAGCAATAGCACAGCGGGGAGGGCATTTGCCTTGCACACGGCCAACCAGGGTTCGATTCCCAGCATCCCATAGGGTCCCCTGAGCACCGCCAGGGGTAATTCCTGAGTGCAGAGCCAGGAGGAACCCCTGTGCATCGCCGGGTGTGACCCAAAAAGCCAAAAAACAAACAAACAAACCAAAAACCAGCAACAAACTCACACTAGAAACAGAAAATGGGTGGCTGTCAGGATACAGAATAAAAGACGGCCAGGAACCTGCAACCCAGGTTAGAAATGCTGCTATTAACTCTTTATTTGCCATAGGCATGCACTGCTTTTTATAAAACTAATGGTTACTGTGACTGCCAGGCTGCTAAGACACAGAAAAGTTTCCGGTGCACTTCGGATGGTACTCAGGAGCTACTCGTGGGGCTCAGTTCTCGGGGATCACTCTTAGCAGGGCTCACGGGAGAGGAACTATGCAGTGGCTAGACTGAAGCCAGGCCTCCTGCAGACCAAGCCTGCTGAGTCCCTGAGACTCTCAGTCTCTCAGCCCGAGACATGTCACTTCTGAAGGTCTGATGACTGGATTTCTATGAAAGCCTAAGAACTTGAACAGAGAGAAGATCTAACAAATTTTTCACAAACTTATCTAAGAAATTTGAACTCTCACACTGCCCCCTTAATCCACACACTGTGACTAGCAATGGATATGTGAGCTCACTCGGAATCCAGCAACCAGGGAAAGGTGATCTGTGAACCTGCAATGCAAGTGCAATGTTGTCCTCGGCTAACTATGATGTCATTTTGTCATCCAGATGGGGACTTAGATTATAAACTTACTGATTTTATTCAATTAACCCTTCCTGCTGATGCTTTTGACGCTGCCTGTGTATGAAAACTTCCAGAGAAAGCACAAAAGCTTGAATCAATGAGTTCATTAATTGATGATGTTTCTCTCTTAGATAAAATTGGAACCTCTGGCTTAAGGAAATTATATAGAAAACAAACCCCCCCAAAATGATAAAGAGTCCATTTCAAGAAGACTCCTAATTCTGTTTAAAAGATAAACACCGTCAATATCTAATTAAGGTTTATTTCTTGTAATAGCTTTTATCACTAGAAGTAATGATTGACTGCATATACTATGCAGAAAGTCACTATCAGAAAATAGGGCTTGCTACTGGATTTGTCTAAAACAATTTCCAAAAATGTTACCTTCAGAATTTCCATCAGTAATCTCCAGCAAGTATTTGAGAATTTCTGAACCACCATTGTCTTTTGGAGGATCTGGAAAGTGAGCAAATGCCTTATTAGTTATGAAAAGATACTGCTTTTTGTTTTCAAATTGTGCCTATAACACACACATTGTAGTAGTTCACCCAACTTCTTTCTTGAAAAACTAGAGAAAGCTTCGGTACTATCAGATGATTCAAAATTGTTAAAGCTGGACTCTAGGCATTTAGTGAAATATGATGAAAACCAATGAAAAGAGCTAAGAATTATGTCACTACGTTTATTCTGAGAATCCTAGAACTTGTTTTGTAATATTTAGTCATCTCTATACAAGGTGAAAACAAATACAGAATACAAATACAGTTTTAATTTCTCTTATGATCTCAGTGGCCAGATTCCTCCGAGAGATGGAAAGAGAAGGAAAAATAAGTCTGAAATTTATTGATGAAATAAATCAAACACTGGAATGCAGCAAATCTGTTCCATCATGATTTGGTGATAAGCAAATGTTATTATATCCTAAGTAAACCTTGTATAAAATTGGACTTATGGATCAAAAGAAGGTGTAACAACTGGCAGCTGAGGAAGAGTTACTCAGGGTTACTCAAACCTTGGGTATTCTGCCCATTGCTAACTCTGTGCCTACTCAATTTTCTTTTCTGAGCAGAAATAGACTGTGCATTGGAATTTGGTAAAATTATAAAGAATTTATCTCTACTATTAGGTGGCCACCCTTAGTCAGAGATAAACTCAGTTCATTCATCTGATATTTTTTACGAATGCATATACAGTTCAAGAATGTTAATTTACTTGTTTTTGGGGCTATACGCAGTAGTCCAAGGACTCACTCCTGGCTTTGCTCAGGGATCACTCCTGGGGACACTTGGGGAACCAAATGTGGTGCTGGGATCAAAACTGGGTCGGTCTCATACAAAGCAAGGGCCACACCCACTATGTTAGCTTTCCACTGCTGCCCCCCCCCCCCCCCCACTTAAAAATTACTATTGTTGTTGTTGGTTTTGGGGCGACACCTGGTTGTGGTCAAAGCTTATTCCTGTCCCTGAGCTAAGGGATTACTCCTGATATATCTAAGGGGAACCACATGTGGTGCCAAGGGATGAAACCCAAGTCAGTTGTCTGCAACACTATATCATCACACTCCTGGCTCTGTGCTCAGAGATCGCTCCTGGCAGGCTTGGCGGACTATGTGGGATGCCAGCGATCAAACCTAGACTGGTTCCAGGAAAGGTTAGGTGCCCGACCGTCTGTACTATTGCTCTGACCTAAGGTAGTTATTATTTTTATAGGACAGTGATAATTATATTCATCATGAAAGTTTCACGTAGACTGCAAATCTTTATCAACATACTAAACAGCATCTAGTTTAACTGTAATAATTCACATGATAGAGGTGGACCATGATACTCTCTGCCAGACACTCTGACTTCCATATGATGAAGCTCAAACTTAAAAAAAAAAAAGCGCTGAAGCTCAAGGTTTTTGTTTACATACCAAAACTAAAATATTTCTAATTCACTGTAACCAGCATTTTACAAGTCTGATTTAATGAGGACGTCAGAGCTATTACAATTCATCCTCAATATCAACTTTACGTCAAGTTTTATATTGAGTAACTACCAGTTTTTAAGGACACACTCTTGAAAAAAAATAATCAGATTGTTCCATTCAAATTAACGCACTGTAGCACTATCCTCCCGTTGTTCACCCATTTGCTGGAGCAGGCACCAGTAACGTCTCCATTGTGAGACTTGTTGTTACTGTTTTGGGCATATTGAATATGCCACGGGGAGCTTGCCAGGCTCTGCCATTCGGGCAGGATACTCTCGATAGCTTGCCGGGCTCTCCAAGAGGGACGGAAGAATTGAATCCAGGTCGGCCTCGTGCAAGGCAAATGCCCACCCACTGTGCTATTTTTTAAATATAAAAAATAAAGGGGAAAAACATCACTGTCCTCCCATTGTTCATCGATTTGCTCAAGCAGGCCCCGTAACGTCTCCATTGTGAGACTTGTTACTGTGTTTGGCATATCAATATGTCACGGGGAGCTTGCCAGGCTCTGCCGTGTGGGCGAGATACTTTCGGTAGCTTGCCGGGCTCTCCAAGAGGGGCGGAGGAATCGAACCTGGCTCGGCTGGGCCGGCTGCGTGCAAGGCAAATGCCCTACCACTGTGCTATCGCTCCAGCCCACGAGGAAAAACATATAATACTAAAAATCATAAAGTAAATGAGAATCTCTTCTACAGGTATATTTTATCAAGGGTGAGAATTCTTAGGCTCTCATACTCGTATTCTAGGACTGTGAGGCTCCCTCCAATCATTAACATTAATGGAAACAAAATAAAAATCTGTGAGGAAAGCTGGCAGGGGAGAGAGTACAGAGGCCACTGTGGTGCTTGCCTTGCATACCAAGCCCAGCTCAGTCCCTAGCAATGAGCACCGCTGGGTGGGTGGGGGGGGGGGGGATCCGTGCAGAGAGCCAGGAGAGCCCCAGATTACTCTACCCCCGAGTAAAAGAGAAATGCAGTGACACCTACCCCATTTGACACTAAAGCCATGAGATGTGACTGGTCCTTTAACAAGGGGTCTCGCTGGAGGGCCCGGCCTGTCGGGACTTGTTGTACAAACCAAAACTTCACTTGGACAGCTTTTCCCTTCCGTGTTCGAAGCAGTCAGCTGGAACACAAAGGAGAAGACATGCTTGGGAGTGAGGAATTCAACCGATGCTGTTTTGAGGAAACACAGCGGGATTCAGGCACCCGGAACCGCACACAGTTGAGATGCACAGGCAAGCCTTTGCTCTTTCACAACCTCAAACGATTGGTTTGTCGTTTTTCTCCCCTCATGGAGCCCTTCTGTTCCATGCACCTGGCTCTTCAGCATGGAAAAGAAAATCATGAGGCGGGTTTGGGCTCAAGACACTTTTCCTCTTTTAAGAAGACACAAAACAAAATCAGTGGCTCCTGCGAAAGCCAAGAAAAGAACGTCGTGCAGTCAGGAGTGAGGCAGCGCCACCGTGTGGACACACGCCTGCAGCGCATCCCTGCTGGCACAGGAATGGATTTCAAAACCTAACAAACCCCCGCCCAAAACTCTCCTCAAGCAGTCGCACACTCACTCCAGTTGATAACTGCACGGCTCTCTGAGCGGTCACTCCGTGACAAACGACACCAGGTGGTTCTCAAATTAGAGAACGAAGGCATCTGAAGCTGACCTCACTTCTCTAAGAGCACAGGGCTAGGCGAGGACACTGCAGTTAGTAGTGCGTTGTCTCTCCCGCTCGAGGCCTGCCCGGCTGTCTCTGCTGCCTGTCAGCTCCAACCCAGAGGGCTGTGGTGGTACTAAGGCAGGGCGTGGCATAACGGGTGTGGTGGGGGGGCCAATGACTACAGCACATGACCGGAGCACAGCCCCGGAGGAAAGGGGCTGGTTAGATAAATGGAAGATAAAAATGAGAGCAGGGAGGATGAGAAGGATGGAGAAGAAAGCAGTCACAGAGAAAGCGATTCAAAGGACCAGGAGGGTGAGAAGTGCTGGCGGGGGAGCGGGGGGTGGGGGGGCACTGGGTGGGCGGGTGGTCCCCGGCGATGTGGCCAGGCTGGAAAACAATTTATTACAGCACATTACGACAGTTCTCTTTCTCCAGAGTGGATTGGAAACTTCCAAGTTTGGTGTGTGTTTTAGAGGGTTTCCTTTAAAATGTGAAGTGACGTGAGCCTAAACATGATGTAAAATAAATACTGTGGAGTCCATCTGAAATGGTCAGTGGGTGAAGAGAAAAAGCGCTTCATCCTTAAGCAGGTCAGGTCCCCAAACGGCTGACTCACCCTGAATTTATACTGTGTGCTTCTTTTGAGACTTTTCACAGTACAGGTTAAATCCTCTCCAGTGTATTTTGGGTGGAAAAGGTTATCCTGAAAAGGCAAAGCCAGAAAGAGACATCAGTATCATAAAATCTGGGCATGAATTACCTGGGACTGCAGGATTTGAAGGAAAAAAAAAAATCTCGCCTTTTCCCATCAGCAACCTGGCAGCCCAGCTCCGGCAGCTCCCAGAAGAGAGAGCGGCGGAACGGAGCCCACGGAGCTGTGGGAAGCGTTCTGGTTTGAAGGGAAATCTGAACTCGACTGCATTTTCTCCCGGGTTGGCTTCAGCCAGCTTAACATCTGAAGGAGAATAATGCTCTCTCCTTGAGACAGCGGAAACTCGCTTGGGAAGAGATGCTCCCGTGTTTGTCCCAAAGAGGACACTCTTCCTGTTTTTTCAATAAGCCCTTTGAAACGGGAAGTTAGCCACGAGCTTTTAATCCTACTTGGTGCGTCCTGAAAATGTGTCTTTTGCCTAGAAGTGTCTTATTCACGAGAAAGCCTCCTCTGTGGGAGGTCAGCACTGTCAGGCTGCAATGTGCAGTGCAATAAACTGTGGCCGACGTTCCTGACCACACAGTGTCCCCTTCTGGTCAAGGGGAAAAAGGACAGCTTAGATGGGGGAAGACATAAAGAAGTACATCGCTGAGAGTTGACTCGACAGAACTCATAGACTTGGTTCTCGATCATGCATCCAGCCAGGCAGCGCCACCCTTTTTCATCCAAAAACTGGACGAGTTAGGTTATCCCCCAGTTGGATTCAGCAGTGCCTGAGAAACGTCGTGACAGGGAGAGAAAGTGATGGGAAAAAAAACCCCTGTTTGGTGTCAGGTGCTGGGAAGGAGCAGAAATCAGGGAAGGAGAGAGCTGGAGCCGGCGAGGGGCTGCTGACGACCCCTGCGAAGATAACCGGAGGATCCACACATGGCTCTTACAGCTTCTATTACATACGTACAATGGAAAATTCAGTGCCTCGGGCCCGTGAGCCACATCACAAGTGTTCAATAGTCGCGTGGTCTAAGTGCCATGTCACTGGAGAGTACACACGCTCCAGCACTTTTGGCATCTCAGGAAGTCCACTTTGGGCTGCTGTTTCATAGGATGGGGTCAGGGAGGGGCTCTCCAAAGAAGTGACCCAGAAGTGAGGGGGGGGGTGAGGGAAGACCACGGCTGGGCACTGGCTGAGAGGGGAAGGACTGCAAAGGTCCTGAGGTTGGGAATGCCCCAGACCTGCGGCTAATGAGAGCCCGAGGCAGAACAGGGTGGCAGTGGTGATCCCAATCGGGCAGGGTCTGTGAAGTGTCTGAGGAGGACCAGGAAGGGTCCTGAGGGGAGTCCTGCAGTACCTGTGCTATCCATAGGTGTAAGATAGCAGCAGAGTCATGACTAAGAGGCTCTGGGCTGTCCAGGTGAGGTCCCCGTGGGTGGAGGACAGGGAAGAGCCGAGGGACTCTCCCAAGATGGTTCAAGCTCCAGACAATTTGTGGAGGGAAACGGCAAAGGATTTTCTAACCGATGATGGATGGGATCCCAGATGACTCCTGGGGTTCTGGATCCCTCGCCCGAGCGGACGCTGATGTCAGTGACGGGCACCCGCAGCAGGGGTGGAAATTAGGAGTCTGGTGTTGACCGGGGGAGGGGAATCTGACTTCGTGGTGCCCCGTCCCGACACGAGCTCGGCACTGACAGAGGACAGGGATGGAATAAAAATCCTACACACTCACATGTTCGTCCTCCTGGATTTCCAGCGTGTAGGTCATGGCTTCCTCGGGCGCGCACCCTTCCGGCTTATTCCACTGCAGCGTGACCCAGGTGACTCCAGCTCGAACCAGCCGTGGCGCTGAGGGCATCTGAGGAATGTTCCCTAGGGTGTAGCACACCACCTCCTGGCTATATCCGCTGTGGAGAAGGAAGCCCAGTGAGACACACGCAGCAGCACCGCGAGGAGTCCCGGCTGGCTAGTCAGTCCCGCAAGACAAGGCGCGTCCGATGCCCTTCCCTTACATCACTGTCAATCGGACCCTTTCCCTTGCCCCCGTGTCCAGCTAGTGAAGAAGCACACTTTACAGTTTTGGTTTCTTCTTTCTTTCTACATTTTCAGTTTCTCCCTCCCCCACTCCAAATACATCCACAGGCAACATTTCACATAGCTCTGGGCTACAACAAGCCAGGAGGCAGCACGTCATTGTGGGCCCCAATAATCGTCCGTGTGCAATCAATATTGCACACATATATCCTGCACTGCCTTCATTTTTAAAGTTGGTGGAGGTTTCCAATTCCTTTCTAATATCTGGAACATCAGAGACCTTCAACATTATGGTTATGTTTTCAACCAGTCAGCTCTGAAAATCTAGGTCCGGACCCTTTTCTTTTCTTTCTTTTTTTGGGGGGGAGGGTCCAGGAAACACATCATTGAAAAACGCAACTGAATAAGCACCTTGCTAAAGTCATGAAAGCAAAAGGCCCCAGGTCTGAAACACTAAAACCCCAAGAGGGATTCCTTTCAAAAGTCGTGCTGCAGCCTTGTCTTGCTTCTCAGAAAACCTTCAAAAGGCCTTTGCTTTAAAGCGCTAGAGACTGAAGAGAGACCCGTCAACTCTGGAACTGCCCTAGAGGTCCCCTCTAGCGCCCTCGACCCTCTGAGGGGGATTTGCTCTCTTCAAGCCTCAAACTGCTATGATGTGGAGGCAGGCTGACTTCGTGCCTTCCGGCTCAGTGAACCGAAGACCTCAAATCACCACACCATTGTTGAACAGCACGAGGACAAGGAAACACTGTACCTGGTGCCAATGTCATTGCGAGCAGCCAGCCTGAACGTGTACCCCATTGCTGGACACAGCTTGGTCAACTTGCAATGCTTCTGACTCCCAAAGAAGCACTGTCTGAAACCGCTGTTTCTTTTCCCCTACAAGAAAACAGTGAACCACACATGTGTTTAAGAAGTCAACAGCAATGAGAAAATGAAGCAGCAAGCTTCTGGGGAGGCAGCCCTGTTGCACAGATCTCTTACACGGCAATATATCCCTCACACCACAGCACCACGTGCAATGAACTGTCTCTCCCGGTGGCATCTCTAAAGTAGTTTCTGCTTAACCAAAAGAAAACAGTCCTTTTGGGAGCAAAGCAATACTCAAGTTCAGGATCACAATCTCTGAGATCATCTTCCTCATTTGGGTTGGTCCAAATGCTCACCCTGAGCAACCAGGAGTTAAGTTGGCAGTCTCCGGGCACCTGTGGTTGCAGATCGAGTCAGAAAGCACCAGGCCTTCCCAGTATCACTGGGCAACAGCAGGTCAGCTGCCCCAGCAGGGCCTTCCCCAGAGTCTCGCCTGGCCTGAGCAGGCCCAGTTCCCACTGTGCACGTTCCAGCAATGGTGAGTTGTTTCTCCTTGTTCCCTCAATACAGGGCACGGGCCCGTGATCCAACAAGTTCACAACTGCGTTCCCCAGAGTGGTGTGGGGGACAGTCAAGTGTGGAAGCTTCAAGTTTGCAGAGTTTGACAGAATGTCTGACAAGCTCTTGGAACTCAAGGTTAACTGAACTCTGTGCACGATAGTCACTCTAAAGTCCCGAGGAGGTGGGGATATAGTTGTACTGCTTGCCCAGTCTTACACGATGCTTCAAATTCCTTAAGGTAGGTATAAAGGGAACACTCCAGGGGCTGGAGCAATAGCACAGCGGGTAGGGCGTTTGCCTGGGTTCGAATCCCAGCATCCCATATGGTCCCCTGAGCACCGCCAGGGATATTTCCTGAATGTAGAGCCAGGAGTAACCCCTGAGCATTGCCGGGTATGACCCAAAAGGCAAAAATAAATAAATAAATAAATAAATGGAACACTCCAGTGGGTTCTCTCTATAGACTGATTAGAAAAAAACCGTAAGTGCCCCACGCCATGCTCAGGGGCATGGAAGTCTCCAATCAGCATTTTACATGACAAATATTCCACAACATTTGATGAATGTTAACATTCTATCTGCCAGTCGGGCCCAAGGCCTTCAGGGGTAGACTTGAGGTTCTTAAATTATTTTATAAAGAACAAAGAAAGCACATTGGTCTCCTAAATAAAGTTAAGCCTTCCGTTTCTTCAAGTGAGTCTCTGAATGCCACTCTAACTCAGGTTCCAGTGAGGTTTAATAAAAAAATCAAACAAATATAGAAAGAACTAGCTTCAAGTGCCAATTAGGGTTAACCCTTTCACAGCGACCATGCCAGGTCCTCTCCAGCTCCTCCTCCTTGCACCTGCACGATGCCCACACAATAGGCGTCCTTCTCGGGCCAGGGAGTGAGCCTGCTAGTAATAACCTTAAGGTTCTGCCTCTCAAAGACTGGAAGTCCATTCCGGAGCAATGACAACGGGAAGAAAAAGGCAGTAAAATGGAACATCTGGGGGCTGCCATTTGAATCAAGTCACTGCACAGTGTGTACCACGCACAATGCTTACTTTAACCTTGAGTGTTCCTTCTGGCTGCTGCAGACGATTTATTCATAGAAAATTCATTTATGCACAGATTTGCATAATTACCCTGGCATCTGATTACGCTCTCTGCTCGCCCTGGTAGGCTGTGTATCCATTTCAGCCTGTCGCGTGATATACCTTCTTTCCGCCCCTGTTTCTGAGCTCAGAGTAAACAGTGCAAGGAAGGTACATCCTGTCACCAGGGACGCCTCATCCTTTCCAAACCTGATGTTGGCTCCCCTTCAATGCCTCATTTTTCCCATTCCTTTGTTTGGTCTCCTTTGGCCATTTCTGGTGCTTAGAACTAGAGCCAGTAAATAAAAGTCAGTCTGTTGCTTACTGTCATGAAAGCCAGACTGCTTGTGGCTTAAATGAGGATAAAAAAAAATATTAAAAGAGTTTGGGGGGGCCATCATGATAAGAACTATGATTTTCTTTAACGTTGGGGCTCACTCAAGAATTGGGAATGAGGCATTCTGTGACCATCAAAACAGTTTCCAATTCTGTTAATTTTTTTTTTAATTTCAGTATATCAAGAACAACTGCCAAACAAACACCAACTTGTTTAGACAAAGCATGCCAAATTTCCATTGGAACATCTTCTAGGATGTATTCATATGTCCACGAGCCTTAAGAACACGTAGAAACACCTAGCTGCTGGAACCTTAGACTCAATACTACTCAGAAACAGTAGAGCTCGACGGGTAGGAGTGCATATATTTTACACACCGAAGGCTAAAATAAGCAAAATGAAAAATAGAGAGCCAAAAGAAGGCCAAATGGCAAATGACTAGAACTTGTGGAGAAAAGGCAAAAATTGAGAAAAGAAGGTGGGAGAATTATTTCAGACAAGACAGAGTGTTTTAAATGAAAGGTAATATTGAGCATGGGTTTAAAGCAAAGGTATCTGGGAAGTGAAACGCTAGGGTTCACAAAAGCCTCCCAAGTGCAACTACACGCTGGAGCTGGGGTCAGCGAGTGGGAATGAAATCCACGTGGTTTCCTGGCTCTCCAGGGCACACCATCACACACTCTCAGGTGGCCCAGGGACTAGAGTAAATACACGTTCCAAGGTACAGGAGACGAGAAGAACTCTGTAAATTAGGAGGAAGCCTGATTTACAAAGGCTATTTATAAATAAACTCGATCCGAGCTCTTCTTATGGGCAGATGAGGTAGGATTAAGGAAAAAGAAGAAAAGCTTGGGGTAGGGAGTCATTCATCTGTACAGTGCTGGCCTTGCCAGTGTGAGGCTTGGGTTCAATTCCCTTGTCATGCCCCTACCCCAAGGACAATGCTTGAGAGGACTGCAAGATGTAGATGAATTGACAGAAATGATAATGTGAATGTTTGTCACTGTTTATCAGACATTAAATTCAGCCAAGCTGTTACTCTCAGTGACGCTTTAACAGATGGCATATCATAACTGCCATATTTTATTAGCCAATGAATTTGTGAGACTACAACGAGGCCTGCTCCTATTTCTAGCACTGTCCACTGTAGCGCTGTCCTCCCGTTGTTCATCGATTTGCTTGAGCGGACCCAGTAATGTCTCTGTTGTGAGACTTGTTACTGTGTTTGGCATATCGAATATGTCACGGGGAGCTTCCCAGGCTTTGCCATGCAGGCGACATACTCTCACTAGCTTGCTGGGCTCTCCGAGAGGGGCGGAGGAATCGAACTCAGGTTGGCCAAGTTGGCCGTGTGCAAGGCAAACACCCTACCACTGTGCTACTGCTTCAGTCCTCCTATTTCTAATAAAGTCTAATTTTAATTACATGGGGTTACTCGGTATATACTCACATTGCCTGCAGAGAAAACTTTTTTGGGGGGGCTCACACCCAGCAATGCTTAGGGGGTTACTCCTGGCTTTGTGCTCGGGAATTACCCCTGGCAGTGCTCAGGGAACCATATCGGATGCTGGAAATCAAACCCGGGTCGGCTGCATGCAAGGCAAACGTCCTACCTGCTTTGCTATTGCTCCAGTCCCCAGAGGAAACTTTTTAATATTTTAATGTCAGCTTTACGCAAAATTTCTTGGGAAAGCTTGGCCCAAAGAAAAAGGGGCAATCTCCTGACACTGTTAAGACCTGCTCTCATCACCTAGCTCTGGGATCACACACATTGGCAGGAATATGGAGGGTCCCAACCCTGGGGTCTGTCACTCAGCGGATTTGGAGACCTAAGAACAGCCAGTCCCAAAAGGACAGCTGGAACGTGAGCATTCAGTGGACCTGATCTTCTGTCCTTTGGGATATCAGTACCAGAACTGACAAATGATGTTCTCTGAGGAAGCAAAGAAAGAAAACTCACTTCAAGTAGAGAAAGGAGGTGAAAGGAGGCTTCCACCCCCGCCCTTAATCATTCTGGAACTGACCTAGTCAAGGGGCTGCTTTTCACCCAAAGTAGCACACTCTCCATCTGTGTTCCGAACTCACTTCGACTGCCAGTGTCCATGAGCCAAAAGGGAGATTTTTTTTTTCGGGTTCACTGGAGCTTGTTTCCATTTCATAATCTCGGGCATGCCCAAATGCATGTTTCTGCAGCACACACGGAATTCATTCCAGGACGGGTTAATCTTTACTAGAACGAAAGAAACCGTGGGCCTACAGACCAACTCTGTGCAGATCAAAATGAAGGCACTCAGCCTGGGGTGTGGTGAAGTATCACAAATCTGGGTGGCTTCCTTTTCTACCGGCATCCCTCTTCTTGCTCAGTGGACTGCGCAATTCTTATTAATCTATCATCACCCCATGCGCAAACTTAGCCTGAGCATACCAATCCAGCACTGTGTGCCCCGAGACAACGGGAACTGTTTTCTGACCAGAGCCCAGGAGTTTGTCTTCTGGTCAAAACTGTTCTCCAGGAAAGCGCTCAGTGTGCCAGCATCCTGGCTCCTGGATAGGTCATACATCAGACCTGTCCTTCTCCAGCCCTGGGCACCAGCTTCGCCTTAATCGCCTCTTTTTTTCCCACCAAGCAAACCTGCACTGCCAAGATTTGCATTCTAGACAAACCCCACGGGGCCTGCCTGTCTCGGTCCAGACCCCCGGTGTTACGGCAACTCGACTGTATGGTCCACTTGGCCTAAGTGAACTCACCTATTTAATCTTTGGTGAAGAAGTTTTGTTTTGCTTTTTTTTTTCTTTTCTAGTTCTAAATTCACATGCTAAGGATAGTCAGACTTTTGCGGGTGTGTGTGTGTGTGTGTAATCCTGGCCTTATACAATGCCCTGGACACTGTTCACGTCTGTTCTTCTCTGCCCCCTTACTATTTTCATACTCTGAGAGGGTTTTAGGTCCTAATGATGATCTGAGTCCAGATGTTCTCCTCTATAAGGTTCCTTCTCAAGCCTGAAACTTGCCAGCAACCACCAACTTTTGGCCAGACTGTGAAATGGACCGAGGCTGGGAAGTGGGGGGAGGGGAGGAAGGACGCCTGGGCGAA